CCGGCCGGCTGTGCGATTTTTGGGTCCGCTTTGCCTTGTGGGCTAAGCGGCGTGAAGCTGTGAAATCTCCACAGCGTGATGGAAGAGAGGGTTTAGTGGGACACGTTACTCCTGTCAGGTGGATGAAGTTGGGCGCAGGAACCTTTACTCTCCGAGTTGTACCTTTGTAGCTGTTCAAAGCAAGAAGTTATTTTGATATAAAACCTGAGTGTACATACATTTTTTCCCTGTAGTTGGTAATTCTTAATGAACTCCCATGGAAAGTAGAGACTTACACGTTCTTTTTAGACAAGGATGTATTTATTACGTTTGTACTGATACTTTGTAGTTTCTGAAGATCAAGGGCGAAGAGGGCTAAGGTAGGCAGGCATAGCTGCTGCTCTGGGCAACGTAAACTGATGTCAGAAGCATTGCGGCTTGTTTGGCCTGCAAGTTAGAAGTTCCATATTGTTAGGAGCTCAGTCATTGAATTTTATTAACTGGGGGGGGAAAAGAAAGGGTGTATTTTGAAACTGCTTTGTTTTAGACTTCAAATATTTATCATCTGAAGCAGGAATATTTGTAATTTGATAAACATAACAAACTAACAGAGCTTTAAGATTTAGCATGCCAAAGCTTGAAGGAAGTGCAGTGATTAACATTTCAAGATGTCTGAATTGAGGCTATTTTTATAGGCTTTCTTCTCTGAGTTCACAAAGTAAGACTTTCTTGTGTCATTTTGTCTTTTAATCATCTGCTGCACTGTAATTAAAAATATTAACATTCGGGTTCATCTGTTATGTGCTATTATAGAGTAAAAAGAAGGATTTCTAGAATATATTTAAAATAATAAATTATCTTTACCTAGGTAGATGCCAGTTTGCAATGGGTCTTAAAACCATCTGGAAGGACTACAAAGTTCTGATTGTTATGGGAACTAGCCTTGGGCTGGTGCACTGGGGGTGGTTTTACATCAAGTCCAGTCCTATTTTCCAAGTGAAGACAGAGGACTTTGTTCCAGAACCTGGGATTGTGGCATACGTGATGCGAAGCGATCACAAAAATAAAGAAAAATAGCATTAGTGCTATGTATTGTGGGTAAGTTGCCTAATTAGCTGTATCTGTATCTTTGAGGCAGGAGATGAGTCAATTAAATGAGAGTTTTCTAACGTGCAGTCCTGCTGCTCTAACTTTAGTCTTCCAGAGTTCTAGTCTTTTTTTGCAACTGAGATAATCTGGTAGTTAATGGACCCAAAAAATGCGTCGTACATCTCAAAAACTACTACTAAATCACCATCAATTAAGTGATGGTATTATAGGTCTTAAAAGATATTTAAAAATAAACTCCAATAACTTCAAGGCAATAGTCAAACTCTTGTGACTGGGTCTGCAGAAGTGTCCTTTCAGGCTCAAAACTGCCCAGAAATAATTGTGACTTCATGTAGGAATATATTCTGTGTTGTTAGTAGGGATGGTCATTACAGTAGAAAAGAAACTCAAGTATGAGAGAAGTCTAAATACTGTACATTTACACAGAAATGTAAAGAAAAATATCCCTTCAAGTTTTGAAGTGTTTAAGAACTGAAAAGAATTTTATATCTTGGGCATCTTGAAGTAAAGAACCTTTCTTTCAGAGTTTGAGATTTCTTAAAGTTTAGTTCTTAAACTAAAAGCTTTTGTTTCTGAAGTGGTTGCCAGGGAAGCAGCGCTGAGTAGTTCAGTTCTTTTGTGCTCAAGTGAAAACAGCTTAACCTCACTACAGTTTTGACACATTCATATAAATTAAGTGCAGTTTATAGTGGCCTGTTATGTACAGACCTACAGGTGAAACAGTATATAAACTGGTGGTCCGAACTGAAGTTATGAACAAACATGTATAATTTGTGTACTATATGCTTGCAGTATATATAATATTAATGGGTTTTCTCAATTAAAAAGGATTACAGTTTGGTATTTGTCCGTATGTGAGTTTTTTGTGAAAAATAAAATAGCCGTTCAAGTTACGCAATACTGTCGTAAGATTATCCTAATACCTTTATGTTTTTTATTGCAGGTATAATTAGCTTTGAAGCTTTTCATCTGTGAGCGTTGCTGGAAGAAGAGATGAGGAAAGCTAGCTGGAGTAGAAAGAACTTTCTGCTTGTGGCAGGACTGTCACTTATAGGTGTCCATTTTGGAAGCATCTCGTGAACTTTGTTGCAAAAAAATCTGTTCTATCACATTCAGGAGCTAAAAAGGAAGATCATCATGAATGAAATAGCTTACTGCTGTCATTATGTACCAATTTCACGATAGGATTTAATCCTCATTTTAAGAGAGAGATGATGAGCAGTCACAGGAATGTTGTTATTGTAGTGTATCTACTGTTTCACATTTAAAATAATAATCCTTGGCTGCAAAGAATTAAAATGTACTACTTTAAATTTAAAAAGTGCTATGAATTATAGATCCAAGTAAAAATGAAATATGTTTTGCTGGCCAGAATTAAAATCTTAATTTGAGAATGTCTCGTCTTGAAGCTAAAAAGCCTCCGTTATTTATTAGTGAACCTTTAACTGAAGATACAGTTAGTCAGTCACTGTCTCTGCTAAGTGGAATACTAAAATCTTGCTATGGTCCTGCTGGTAGACTCAAACAGCTCCACAATGGTGTGGGAGGCTATGTTTGTACAACTTCACAATCTTCAGCCATACTCAGTCGTCTTTCTGTCAGTCATCCTATATTAAGTGTTTTGGTGGCCTCTGTACAGAACCACATATGCCGCTTCAGTGACTGTGGCTTATTTACTGCCATTCTTTGCTGTAGTTTGATTGAAAACTTTAAAAGCCTAAATGTTGCATCTTGCACTGTCATTAAAATAAGCAAGCATCTTTTGAGTTTATGTATGGACTACCTCAAATCTGAGGCCTGTGGCTGCCGGGTGTCCGTGGATTTTAGCAGTCTTGAGACTCTTCTTTCTTTGGTACGTAGTGTATTAACAAGCAAACCTGCTTGCATGCTTAATAAACTAGAAGTTGATCATCTCACCATGCTGATTTTAAAGGCTTTTATGTTTACTGTTCCATGTCATGTAGAGACTAATGCTGTTTTAGGAAAGTGTATAATAGTACCTGTGAAAGGTAGAAGAGTCATGGATTCTACAGTTCTTCCTGGACTACTGATAGAAACACCAGAAATTCAATTGGCAAAACCACTTGCTGTCAAAAGAACTTGTTCAAACATGATCAAGATAGCGCTTTTCTGTGTGTCCATGTCAGGAGACCTCTTCAACCCCGAAGAAGGAACTATAACAGTCCATCACGGAATTTCTCTAGAAATGTCAGAGGTGAATCAATTGCTTAATGTGGGAAAGCAGCTGGTTAATGATGAGGTCGGCCTTGTAGTGTGCCAGAAAGTTATCCATCCATCCTTGAAACAGTATCTGAAAGAGAACCACGTCATCGCTGTGGACAGAGCTGGGCTATCTCTGATGGAACCCCTGAGTCGGATGACAGGTAACGAGCGAGTTTTCTGTACTAAACAATTGTCCTTAATGTTCGTCTCATAATGAAAACCTGTCTAGGTTGGTGTCATTGCCAAGTAAGAATTCTCTGATTTCTGTCTGTATCCTACCTTAGCAGCTGAGCAAGAGTTGTTCTTTTCTAGTCTGAAAACCATTTTTTTTTAAGGTGAGATTGGTCTTTTGCAGGCTCTAATGGTGACATACTGCACATGTGATTACTGATTGCTGCATGAGGAATATCCAATTATAGTAACTGTTTGCAAATGTAGATTACTTTGAAACTCTTATTTAATGAGACTAAAACAATTACTTTTTGTACCTTAAATTATCACTAAGTCTTGCACTTTGAAAACACGTTCGTTTCTGTTTGTGATTTCCTGTGTAGAGTGAAATGTTAGGTATGGAAGAATATATATAATTTAAAAAGCCAAGAGGAAAAAAGTCTATGCTTTATTTAATGCAACAGATAGCTCTTCTGATGACAGTAATACATACCGTTCTCTGCTTTTCTTAATTGGTTATAGGTTCAAAACCTATAGCTTCCATACATTCGTTGTCCCCCAGTTGTTATGGCAGTTTGAAAGATGTGCGCCTTGAAAGTTTTGCTTCAAAACACTTTGTGCACCTAATTCCTAATGACACGGTTGTCTGCAGCTTGATACTCTGTAACAGAAATGAAACAGCATGGGACGAATTGAAGGTAGGCAAAT